AACATATTAAATGTTTAATATGATCATCAACCAACATGAGACAACATTCTGCTAAATCTCCTTTTAATACACACACACCTATAGGCCTACTGTAACCAGAACACGTCTGGCATCCCTTCATCGCACTCTCTCTCTCTCCTATACAGCGCATAATAAAAATGTTAATAGCGCATTCAATGAATTCCGATGGGCCCAAACTAAAACATTCCACATTTTATGTAATAACGAAACCAATGAACTGCCACTGGGCCTTATTGTTGGAAAAGAGTCAAGCAGAATTTTATTCTGAACTTTCTATCTATTTCCTGTTCTAGATGTTATTTCAAGCTTGATCTCACATAGAGATTAGGGTTGTCATGATACTAAACTTTTCAACTCGATACCGATACTAAGGAAAATATTCGATACTCGACACCATTTTCGATACCACAAGGATAAAATTTCAACAGAAATATTTTGATTAATAATTAAAATACAATAAATAAATAAATACAATAAACAATAAGAACAACATTTTGAGGTTGTTTTCTGTGCACAGTATTTAGCAAGCTTGATAAAAAACTTACAAAATTAAAATTAAGTTTTCCTTCCTTGGCTATGCTTTGCACACATAACAATGACACTAGCCAAACCGGTTAAGAAACAAAAATAATTCTCAGCAGCTGCAACTGTTACAAAAAAAGTCTGAAACTGAAAAGTGCACAGAATTATTTGATCACACAGTGTTCAGAAAGTGCATTTTCCTCTATTCTGCACTTTTGATGAATGACAGTTTAGGTGCGACTGGTACTCGATATTTTTGTAAATGAGTATTGTATCCGGATACAACGTTTCAGTATCGATACTTTTTTGAGTATCGATACTTTTGACAACCCTAATAGAGATTACTACTGACTGTGCTTTTTTGTCTTACTAAATAACAACAAATTAAACCAGTGTCCGATGGATACCTACAGTGATTTGCGAAAGTATTCAGCCCCTTTTAACTTTTTTTTTTTACCTTTTGCCACATTTAAGGCTTCAAGCATAAAGATTTAACATTATTTTTGTGAAGAATCAGCAACAAGTGGGACACAATCATGAAGTGGAACAAAATCTGAATGGATTTTTTTTAACTTTTTTTTTTTACAAATAAAAGAACTGAGAAAAAATCCCCTGGGTACAGTATGTCTCCATCACTTTTGCACATTGGAAGACCGGAATCTTTGCTTATTGTTCTTTGCAAACCTTAGTGAGGTTGAATGGAGAGTGTTTTTAGCAGTTTTCAGTTCTTTCCACAGATTCTCAATTGGATTCTGGTCTGGACTTTGACTTGACCATTCCAACATCTGAATATGTTTATTTGTGAACCATTTCATTGTAGATTTTGCTTCATGATTTTCTTCTTTGCAGATAAATCTCAGTCCCAGTCTCATGTTTTTTTCCAGAATCCAACAAGTTTTCATCCGGAATGGTTGCATTTGATCTTCCCATCAATTTTAACCATCTTCCCTATCCCTCCTGAAGAAAAGCAGGCCCAAACCATGACGCTGCCACCACCATGTTTAACAGTGGGGGTGGTGAGATGTGTTGCTTGTGATGATTGTTGTCCTATCAACATAGTCTCCCCCTCAGCTGTAGATCACAGCAAATCCTCCAGAGCGGTGATGGCTGCATCTCTAATGTTATTGCTTGCACAGATCTCCTTGGCATGTTTAAGGCTTGGGGAATCTTTTTGTATTAAAATCCTGCTTTAAACTTCTCCAGAACAGCATTTAAGACCTATCTGGTGTGTTCCTTGCTCTACACGATCCTTTCTGTGCTTTAAACAGACCTCTGAGACTATGACATAACAGGTGTGTTTATATGGGGACTTGATAACACACAGGTGGATTCTATTATCATTTAGGTCAACATTGGATCATTCAGAGAACCTCTCTGAAATTCTGGACAGAGTGTGATGCACTGAAAGTAAAGGGTTCGATTCAGTTTTCACACCCCACAGTTTTTGATTTATTAAAAAAAGTTTGAAATACTTGAAATACAGCAGCTGCGTTTTCACCAATCATCAAATTGCGACTACGAAAATAAAATGGTGAAAGCCTGCAATTTTGAAAAAAAATTTGTAGAAAGGTTTTTAACCCTTCAATGGGTTTTTTTCACATTGAAATTATTATATATTACAAAACTGTAATAGAATCGCTTTTTCGCATCACGCGACTCCAGTGCTCTGTAACTGTACCTTACTGCCACTACTACAGTGATGAAAGATATGACAGACAAGGAATTAATGTAAACTGTGCAAGTTTTCTTCTTTTCTTATCATTTCATATTTGGAATGTTTTCTAAAAAGGAAGCATTTTTTCTCTGTGCTTTCATATGTGTTGTGAAGTGCACTAGACCCTCCAGCAGCAAAACATAATGCATACTTCACTTTTGCCTTGGTGTTTCAAGGCTTTCTCCTTCTTCATTGGAATGTAACCTCATTAGAATCAGCCACTTCACATCCATGGTTGAGCATTATTATGGTGTTTATACTCACATAATAAAAATTAGTGTTTGGGGAGTTCCTTTAAAATATATCTACAGGTGTTTTTAAAGTTTACTCATATAAAAAGAAACCCCATAATTTGAAACTTAAGAAAGCCACTGAATCATCATTCAGGCTTTTTCAACAAATTTAAAGGTAGAAAATCCTTTGCTTGTGTCAGATTGTGACAATTGTAAAAATGTATATAATTTGGAATTTATCTGTCAAGGTTTGGTGGAGGTTTTTGAGGACCCAAATGAAGAGATGAGGAGGCAGAGATAGGCTTAGCTGATTTAATTGAGGTTCCAGAGGAACAAAAGCAAAAATTCAGGAACAAAATAAGAAATACAAAAAACCAAGGGATGCCAGGGAGGAATAACTCATTGGGAGGAAGCAATGAAGCAAAAAAAGCAACAAGAAACAAGCAAAGAGGGAGTGCAGAGGTGGTCTATATATAGGGAACAGAACAAAGAAAGGGCTAATGAGCTGATATGGAGCAGGTGTGAAAAGAAGTATCTATAAGGGAGCCAAGGGGAAAGGAAACTGGCAGAAGGGGGCAAAACACTGCTTATAAATGACTAGAAAACAGCATCAATGACAAAAAATGAAGAACAAAAAAGATTACAAAGAAAAACAGAATGACTTAAATTTAAATGTAAATGAAAACTCAAAAACTCCACAAAGGGCAGAAACATGACATTATCAATGCAACCTCACCTAAAACAGGGAAAGTTAAGTTTCATAGAAAACGACTGAATAAAGATGAAGGTATCTTTCAATATAGTTTAGGTAATTATATGGTATGAACTGCATTTTTTGGATAAAATCACCCAACTGTTCTTCTCTAAAGGATAATGTCTGCCCTACTGGGCTTTTTGCCTGATCTTTGACTGATTTAAGAGTTTAAGTGCTGTAGGTCTTTCGCGAGCTGCAATTAAAATATCTACTTTGTTTCAATGTGAGTGACAGGACTGTCTCTGTTTTACTGCAGACCAGCTTGGATGTGATACGAATCATCAGAGCTGAACATAAAAACTCTGAGATCAGCTGCAGCAGTGCAAACAGATGGAGGATTAGCGTCAGGGAAAAGGTCGGAGCAGCAGACGCTAATCTGTGAGTCAGAGAACGGGTCCGATCAGGTCAGAACCATCAGGAGCTGCAGAGAATTCCGGATGAGTATTCGATAATATCCGGGTAAAAGATCAAACTGGGTCAAAACAAAGGGTGGTTTGTAATTTCCTTTGTGCTAATTATTCATCCTTCCACTGTTTTGCTCTCATCCCCAGCTGTTAGCTCTTCAGCATTCAGCGGCATTTACCACTATAATTTTCAGTCTGTCTCTGTTTTAATTTTCTAACCTTTAAACAACACAAAGTAACTTTTAGCCACTAGTAACGCTAGACCTGTAACTCACCCCCCCTGAAAACTACTTGAACAACCTCACTGTTGCAAAATTAAACCGTTTCCCTCTGTTTTGAATTCTGATAACAAACCACTTTGGACCAGCAGATTGAGAAGTCATGGAGTTACTTGTAAAGACCAGACCATGTTCATCCTTCCAGGTTTGATCCTTAATCAGAGAGACAAAAATATGGCAGATCAGGTTAGAGTCATATCTGTTTTGCTGGTGAACCGCAGCTTTAGCGTAGTTAGTCTCATGTCTTAAGGGGAACTCATACTACCTTGAAGCGACACTATTTTAGAGATGGATCCGACCCATGCAAGCTACACAGGCAGGTTTTTGAGAAGAGCAGAGCTTATGCCATCTTGCTTTTCCATGTTCCGCAGTTTCTGCTGCGTTTTGGTCCTACTCACAACATAGAAAACAGTGTAAGGCCTTAAGAGATTCCCCCCACACATTCGCACATGTAAATTATGTGACATTTAGCTCTATAAAGTATTGACCCAGGGAGAGAAACATTAATGCACACCAAACCTTTATGATCTTTGTCTTTAGCACATTTTGAAAACTATGTATACTTTAGTCTCTCAAAATGACTCTTTGATATCACTAAAATTTATCAAAGATAAGAGTTTATATCTACATTATTAATTGTAGTTTTATATCCTATAAATAATTTCTTTTTTACTTTCTTCCGAAGTGTGTCTTACATCCATGCTGTTTCAGAAATGAGCTTTTGCTTTCTTTTTATCTTGAACATCTTTCATTTTATCTGAATATGCCATCTTTTTTAACTACTTCAAACTGTTTTTTCTTTAAGATGTAGCTTTTGTTTTTGTTTTTTTCGTATTTATTTTTTTGTCTTGTATGCGTCTCTATGCTTTTATATGACACCGGTGAGTTTCCCCACTTTATGACAATAAAAGATGTTTCATTCTTTTTTTTAAGTCTGCTAAATCTAACATTTCCCAGGAACTGCAGGTTCTGTTGTGACCTTCACACTATTAGGCATGTGGTTAAAAAATCTGAAAATGGAGAACTTGCAGCTCACCACTAGATTCCTCTCAAGGTAATACAGCCCCCCCTTACCTCCAAATGCCGGTCTCATTGTGAAGTCATGATCATCTACTTTGAGAAGCTGCTCCGTCTTGGTTTTCCTGGACTTGGTCACATCTGGAGGTTTCTTTGGCAAAGCGCTGCAAGAAAAAAAGAATAGAAATAAGGAACTGAAATAAAAACAACAGCAAAGAAGGTCAGGGGAAAATTATTGGCTGCTTTTTCAGCTTCTCTGATCCTAGCCAAGAACAGAAATTGTTTTCTCCTAGGATGGATCTCCAGCTCACATTCAGCAGCTTGGGGCATGGTGAAAATTCCAGGAAGCCTGATCTCCAGCAGGGTGAATTACTCCAGAGTAAAATTACAGCAGATTTGCACAGCATTTCATCACAAATAAGGTTACTGTTGCAAACTTTATATGCAGTCATCAGATAATTTATCAGCTTGAAACCATGAAAGTTGCTGGTTTGAAAAACAAAAACAACCAAATCGAAACAGCAAGTCAAAAACCTCAAGCTCCTAAAAACACTTGTGAAAACATTAACTCTGAAGTGCTCCTATAAAAATAATCTTTTAATACGAAGGAATTTAAATGAGCTCAGCAACATATTTCGATTATTAAGGAAAATATACATGGAAATGTTTTATTCTTTTATTTTATTTTATTACAGGTATTTAGTTTGAACTTTACAGGTAAATCAGCATCCAATTTTGCATGCATCATCAAATAAATATAAACTGTTTCTTTCTTTGTTTATCCTTTTTTTAACGGATATTGAGTCTCTTTAAGATATTGAATCTTTCTAAATATGTTCTTGGATAATAATATTCCTCTGCCTGGATGAAAAAAAGATGATCAAGAATCAGTTGATACAAATAAAAATCTATAAAAAAAAAAAAAAAGAAACCTTTCCATGGCAGTGAAGGCACCAGGAATTAAAAAGCGAGGAGAAATGCATTGTTTGACTTCATCAGTACTTTGGAGACAGATTCTTGAGCAGCAATCTGCATATTTTACAGCAGTGATGATTATTTTTAAAGATTTTTTGACAGGCTGAAATTATTTCTGTAAAATAACATTAACCGACTCTGTGTTTAAAAAAATTTGCTTTTCTTTTAAAACCTGATTGTGAGCTTGTTGTTTTCTGTATTGCACAAAAGTATCACTAACGCTGCACACCTGCTAGACAAGGCTATGAATGAGGTTGTCAAGTTTATGGTGGGAGATGTTTAGGACAGGGAACCAAACTCCATTAAGTTAACAATTATTTCACATCCCTGTGTTTGGTGCAAACTGCCTGTAACTGGTTTAAGTGAAGCTGCATGTAAAAACCCTTCCAACTTATCTCTTGAGTGTTAAACAATTAGCTCCACCCTTTATCTGCCCAGAAAAGATAGAACATTCGGAGAAACTGCATCTGTTTTCCCCTGAAAGGATTAATGACAGAGACGCACCGATCCGGTACCTGGATCGGATATTTGCTCTGATAATGACTAATTACTTGGATCAGATATCTGTGATCTGACATCAGATCTCTGAGCTCCGATCCATTGTGCTTCACAACTGTTCTTCTTTGTGATGCTTATTTGTTAACAAATAATATTTCAATCTGAAAAACTCACTCAAAGAGAAGAGACAATTGGGAGAAATGTATTGATACAATCACTTTGTCTTTGGCGCTCAGACCTCGGCAGGAAATATAGCGCTTAATTTTGATAGATATGCATGAACAGAAGAAAAGAAAAGGGCTGTTGGAGATAGATGAAGTTGGTCAGTCTGTAGACTGCTGGTTAGAGAAACGGTATGCTGAGCTTTATGGGGAGATCCGGTAGACTGCGTGAGCTGATACTGAGCTTCACTCAGGGACCTAGAAGATGGAAGTCAAGTTGGATAACACAGGTTGAGAGAACCTGTCCATGATGAGCAAGCATGCAGCGACAGTGGAGAGGAAAAACTCCCCGTTGGGAAGAAACCTCTGGTAGAACCAGGCTCAAGATGGCGGTCTTCTGCCAGACCGGGTAAGATGAGACAGGGAACGCAGTAAGAGTCCAGGAAGAATGACACTCCGATGAAGCTTTAGCTACAATAGTGGAGCGGGGGCTGAAGGTGGGTTGAAACGTTGTCAACTGAATAAAGACAAGTGCGTATCGCAGGCCTTTTAAGATGAACTTTGAATGCCGATTGGCTTTCGTCGAGGTGTGGTTCAAGGCTGTTTCGCAGGTGGATCTATAAAAAGCAATGAGTTTCTTCAGTTGAACTTCCGCCTAGGCCCTTAAAGTACATTTATATCTGTGTTAAGTTGGTACCTTATTTTAACAAGGTTTATATTAAAGATAAAGCCCTCATTCAAGTAGCAAGATACTGTCAGCTCAAGTCAGTATTGGATTGGATTAGAAAACACTGGATCGTTGTGTCTCTAATTAATAAATTCTGCTTGAATGAAGACCACTGATCTGATTCTTGTTTAATAAGACTTGTATTCTTCCATAACAACTCCAAACACTGGCACACAAGAAAATCCCATGGAGGAAATTGAGGGGAAATGACAGAATTGTTTGATTGTCCCTAAATGATGTCCTGGATCTCACATTTTCTGCTGGAACAGGAAACCTATGATATTCAGCCTCTGCAAGATCAATTTCAGAAACATGGATGAAACTGGAGCCAGAACATCAAAAACTCCTCCCTTACACTATCTTTATGAACTTATTGAGCTGTTGATGTCAGACAAACAGCACCACATCATTCTGCCCCCTGAAAGCTAAAAAAAATGTAAAATGATGAACTGCTGTCAGCATAATGCACTTCTTACCACTGAAATTATTTTATATTCATATTATGAAATGCATAGTTTGCATAGCATTAGTTATAAAAAGGAAAGGCATAACACTGATTAGATTTGTTGCCTGTGAGTACAAGTTCTGCAGATTAAACCTGAGAATCCTGCTAGTAGAAGGCATGATAAGAATAAAAAGCAGAGTATTTATTTCAGGGAAAGTTTGCTTCCATCAGCTTCAGTTTGTTTACACTCAGCTGCTGATAATCCATCTTACTTATGCAATTATTATAGAAGCTGTTTCAACAGGAGCCCAAATGTTCTCCTGATTTTAAGAACTCAATAAGTTTACAGCAGCAGCTCAATTTTTCCATGAAAATTCCTTTGAAAAATCACAAACTACAACTCGAACTAGAAAATATATCTCTGAACTCAGCGTGTGGATTTTATCAATATTTTTATTTATGAATAGAAACAGTGACGATCATCAGACACTCAGATATGTTTAACATCTGCTAAGGAAGATGGGTTGCAGAAAATCTAGTGACTATGCAATTTAAAGTCTTTCTTTTTAAAGAAAATGTATACTGATAATCTTTATTAAATTGAATTAAACGACATTGTAACATAACAGAATCTAACTATGAAATATTGTTTTTTTTATATATATAATTTACTATATCTAATTGATTTGATCATATATTTCTGGATAAGTATTGCATTTTTTTGTAAAGTGCATTACTATCATTCCTCCAAGGCGCTACTGTCAGGTCTCCAGAGCTGGGTGGAGTGGCTGTTTGTCTTTTCCCTTTTTTCTCTCCCAGGGTGGCAGGCTAATTGAGTCCAGCTGGGTTCCATTCCCTCAATCAGTGGTTGCCTTTAGGAAGGAGCAGTCTCCCTCAAGCAGACGGCAGATGGTTGATGTACTCAGAGTGGTAACAAGCCAACTTAAGAGAAATCTCAGCATTGTGTTTTTTCCCTCCTGTTGGATCTTCTCTGTTTAAGACCATATTGTCCTTCTCTGCTTCAGGATCCCTTCTGGCAAAGACGGTTGTTGGATCCACCTCCCCCAAGGCTGCTGTTCTGCTCCTTCCTCAGGCTCACCAACTTGGCCTTCAGAACCCCTGGCTCAAACCTGTCCACCCTCATCTCCAAACAAACTGAAAGACCAGTGTCTCCACTCCCAACTTCCAACATCTACCAACCAGCAAGACCGGGCTTCATGGACTCACACTCAGTGTAAGCTGACTTAAACTGCTTAAAACAATCTTTCTTAATCCATTCATCCCCTTTAAACAACTTGTGTTCCCTTCCAGTGCCTGCCTGCTCCCAGCCCCGCTCCCTCAGCTTTTTCCAGACTCAGTTGTCATCACATTTTCCTGAAAATAAACTGTTTAAATCTGCTTCTTTCTGTGCTTGTGCCTACTTAAGAGTCCAAGAGCTAGCATTATGACAGAACCATCTGCCCAAGCGGACTCTGGGGCACAGCTACGTACTGCTCTAACTGAACAGGGAATACTCCTTGGAAAACATGAAGATGTTATTCAAACTATGCTCCAGCAACAAGGTTCCATGTTCCAGTGTCTCAATCAACTCTCCAATCAGATCCAGGATCTCACCAACCAGCTGCAGTCTACTAATCTCTCCTCTCGTTCTTCCTCAGTAACTGCCCCTGCCGCTGCTGTTGCTTCTGCTGTGTCTTCATACCGTGATGTCACCTTGCCCACTCCAGAACACTACTCCGGTGAGCTGGGTAAGTGCAAGGGTTTCCTGCTGCAGTGCAACCTGGTTTTCCACCGATCTCCCCGATCCTTCCCCGAAGATGCCCATAAGATCTCATATGTCATTGGGTTGTTAAAGGACAAGGCATTAAGGTGGGCCGAAGCCACAATTAATGAAAGAACACTGCCTCGCTACTCCTTTGAGGAGTTTATTAACCTTTTTAAACAGACATTTAGTCCAAATCTAAGCGAAGAAGACTCAGCAAGGAGAATCTGGAATCTAAAACAGGGCAATAGATCAGTAGCTGAACTGGCAATAGACTTTTCGCATCCTTGCTGCTGACTCTGGCTGGAATGACATAGCCCTTAAAGGGGCCTTTCAGCATGCTTTAAATGGCACACTGAAGGATGAGTTGGCTTGTCGAGATGATCCCCAGTCCTTAGATGAGTTGATAGATTTGGCTATTAAGATTGATAATCGAATTCTAGAGAGGTCCAAAGACAAAAGAGCTCCTTTTGTCCTCTCTTCTACTGAAAAGACATCTCAAAGACCAGAAATCCAACCTTCCTCATACCTTCCACCCCCTGAGCCGATGCAGGTTGGTCGTGCTAAGTTAAGTCTGGAAGAAAGACAGCGTCGAA